CTGTGGGTTTGAGTCAATATAAGTCTCATAAACGACTCTGTCCTGTGTTTGCTCTTGTTGATAAATGCCCCACTGCAGCTCTCAGTGCCTAAATAGCTGAGGGTGACATGGCAGAGGTGATAAAGAACTATGTTCTGAGGACCCAGACACATAAAATAACTACTACCGCTTTTGATTTGCTAGTCCAGTACCACTAGGTAGATTATAAATTGTGGGAATATGTAGTATTGACTTTAATAGATGGTAGAGATGTGCCTTAGGAATTATCTGTCTGAAGGCATGCAGCAGTTCCTTGCCATAATTCATCCTCCTCACATCTCCCTTTGCCATGGGGTAATAAATACTCTAATGACTACTGGGAGAAAATCTCCCACCACCCAAGCGTACCTGTGCGTTGCACAGCCTGGGAACCATTTTATTATCATTGTGAACTATACGGTTTTAACTCTAGAAAAACATTTCTCAGTTCTGGGAAAAATGCACATTATGCCTTGAGAACTTTAAATTTGTAAATAATTCAAATGAGATCCAAGAAAAGGAGATGTCAATGAAACAATGGCTTTTGATACCGAGATTTATTTTTCTTTCATCTCACAAGTAAATGTGGCCTTCATTCAATGAAATTACCCAGAAGAAAAAAAATCAGCTGAGAAAGTGAAACTTTTTGTGAAACCTGGGAGTGACACTTGAAAAGAAATCTGCGTAGTAAATTGTAATTGAAGTAAAGCTAAATGCAAACATTTTCATGCGTTGTCTAGCCCACAGCTTCTGACACAGCAAGGGCGTGTCGAGGTCCCGGGCCACTGCCGATTGCTACACCATCCCAGAACAGAAAAAAACAAAGCTTACCTGGGCCAATTGTTAAGGGGGAGCCTGTTCGGGGTGGGGTGGCTGGTACATTTTTTGGAGGCAGTGGTGGAGGTGCTGCCGAGAGATGAGAAGTTACAACCCTAAGTTACACACTATTCCTTACACGAGCAGGATTTGGGCTTTCATTCACAGCCCTGCTATTGAAAAAGGAACAGTCATTAATGGTCCAAATGTTTTTAAGCTCAAAGCTAAGGGACTGAAGCAGGACTCATTCAGATTCTTCTGCTTTATGATAAGAAATTGTCAAAAGAAAGTCATATGATAACAATAATCATATCATCCTTTCATTCATTCCTTTATTCAATAAACCTCAAGCACCGACTAAGTCACCTATCCTGTACTAGGAACTAAAGACATGGGGTTGAATACCAGGAGACTCTGCCCTCAAGGAATTTACAACTGAATGAATGAATATCGTGGTCACAGGTAATCACAGTCCAGAGTGTGAGCAGGGAAATGAAAACAGCTTGGGTAGGGGCTCCGGTGAGGGGCTTTAATGGAGTCAGAATATTCTCGCCTGGACTGTGTCTGGAAAGAGTCCTCAAAATTATATGTCTTCAATTTGGGTATATTTTTGAAAATCTGGGATCAAAATGACTTGAAGAGCGAACAGATGACTTAGGTAAAAATTACAGCTAAAAAAATCTCCCTGCGATAGAAAAAGTATCGTATTATGACCCCAACCCAGAAACTCATCCTTCTGAACTGGGCTTATTCCTTTGTGGGCAAAGTTCGGAATTACGATTTCAACAGGTACATTTATTTTTCTTATTCTTCCTTTAAATGTATGTTTTCTTGTCGCTGGCTACATTTGGCAGATTCCAAGAGTTCACTTTTCCTTTGGGACCTCTTTCCCCAGCCACCTGGAGTCGGGGTTGAGGGCACGCTGGAATAAGCAGGGTTGATGGCCTTGCTTTGAGATAAATTTGCCCTGATCTCCTGTCTCAGGGTCTGTCTCCCATATGGCATCATTTCTCTTGCTCTCCAATAATCCTTCTTTCCTCTCAATGTGTCCTTTCTATCCTCTGCAGCCTCTTTTGTTCTGTAGAACTAGAATAGACTGTATTTGAATTGGTCACCTCTGTATTGAGTGCTAGCCCATGCTTGGAGCACGGCAGATTCTCTAGCTGAGTTGCTTCTCACTCACATACAATGAATGAATAAATAAATGAATGAGCCTGTGGGCTGTCAGAAGAAGCTATGATTTAATGTTGATTATTTTACTTTGTTTATTATATTATTCCTGTCTCAACAAACTGTCCTAGGCCCCTTTAACTCTAAAACCTATTAAAATAACAACTCTTCTTAATAGTATACAGTCCAAATATGGCTTACGCAGACTTTCTAAGTGTTGCCTCAGTTCACTGTGCAGGCAGACAGTAAAATGAGTCACTTATTTTTCCAGACAGAGCAGACACGTAACTTACTTCCAGTGGGAAAAGGCCTTGTTAACTTTGGCGACTCCGTGCTTGGATTAATTGGTTGGCCTGGACCCCATATCTCAGGCTGATCTAAAAGAACTGGAAATATAAAAAGAAAATTTCCCAGGGTGAGTTCAGCAAAGAAATGCCCTGATTTTAGAACTTAAAATTTCAATTTAAAGTTGAGCTTCACAGAATTATTTCTGTCTTGCCTCGGTCCTAGCAAATTAATTCAGGGATGTGTTGGTCCTTATTCTTTTCAAGCAGAGAATAGACATAGGAGCATAATGTGTGTGTGTGTGCACGTAGAGCTAAATAAAAACTTGCAAAACAGAGCGTCTGCGTTCTCTTCCTGGTTGGTCACTTAAGGACCCTCTAAATGTCAATACAATCCATGTACTGACTCTGGCACCCACTTGAAAACCCAGGCATCACTCCTGTGGACATTTGTTTTAAGTTGGTTTCTTTAAAGTTTGCTATGAATATGCTTCAAAAATGAAAATGCCTCAATTCTGTACAGTGGTTCTCATCTTTAAAGGATTTTGCAGGGTCTTTAAACAAAATCTTTTACAGCATCATAAAGAAACACTGAATTATTCAAAAAAAAGTTTGATGAACATCTTAAGAGAACCAGAAAAATAAACAAGGACATAGACATCTAAAGTAAATCAGGGCAATGAGGCATTAGGCTTAAGGACACTGAAGCTCATGTTTCTTCTATTTCTTTCATCTGTTCCTTCTGATTTTTTGTTGTTGCTATGGTAATAATGGAATGAACTAGCTCTTCTCAGCACCTATCATGTGCCAGGGTCTGTGTAAATACTGCTTGTCATTACGTTGTAAAACACAGGCTGGGAAGTTAGTTGGATGTGGATGTGAATCCAGCCTCCAAAATTACTGTAGGACCTGGGGCAGCTCATGTGACCTCTCGGCTTCCTTTCCATCCGTGTAGAGATAATAAGTTACTAAAAGGATTAAAAGAGGTAATATGTAGAAATATAATGTATATAAAATGCATATAAAACACTTATCACTAGGCCAATAGCTACTATGATACATTTTAGTTCTTACCACACTTCCACCTGGCTGATGTTAATACCATTTTCAGGAAAGGAAACCAAAGATCTCAGTGGTTAAACGCCTTGCCCTTCAAAATTCATGGTGGAAGCAGAGGCGCTAAGATCTGATCCCAGGCATGTATACTGAACCCCCAAAATGCATATTTCCCTCCCAGGTCTTGTAAACCAGTGATAGAAGACTCAACGAAAAAAGTAAGAGTGAGTAGGTAAGAAAGGTAGGTGTAGATACTAGAAGGTCTAGTATGCTTGGTGCAAATGTTGGTACTTTGCAGAACTTCAGGGGCTGAAACCACCTGAAGAATAATCAAGCCAGGCTCACTGACAAGTCCAGGTGTGCATCCCCTCCTCCATCACAAACCTCCGGGATGGTCTTAGCTCCTTTTGGTTTCTAACAAGAAAGCAAACAGTCTCCAAAGATGTGAAGTGGCCTTTTGTTTTTTCATGGGTTCAGTGGGGGATATCACCTTGATTTTTAAGAACTATTTTCTATCTCGCATACCAGTTTCCATACTATTTGGAATTTTTAAAAGATCGGTAGATTCAAATGCAACATTTCAAATCCCACCTTCAGTCATTACACATATACATCATGATGGCGTTAAAAGCGAGACTGATCACAGATGAGTTAAAAAGACCACAGATAACTTCACCACAGGGTCACCTTCACTTCTGCATTTTAAGTTGTAGACATTTCAGTCACTGAAGGTATATTTGGAGATGTTCCTTATACATTTTCCTAACCGTATCATTAAAAAATATTCAGTTGTGGCTGACTGCCGGCTGTCTCCCAGGGTCCATGCTCCATTTCTTCTATAGTTCAAATTTTAGCTGGCCAAATGGCCCTAAATTCCTTCTGGCGGGCTCTGCTTGGAAGTGATGTGGTCCCTTCCAGATTTTGCTCTTGTAAGGACTGGTAGTGAGTCTTATTATCCTTAACACTGAAATTTAATTTCCTTCACAACTGGGTCCTGGAAAAATAACATTTTAGGCTGCACATGGTCTGGGCACCCGGTCCAAGGCCTGAGGTGGCACTGGAGTCAGGAAGTCAGGAAGTTCAGAGCCCCCCACACCAGCCCGTTAAAAAGAAACCTTCTATTATACACCTACCATTGTGCTCTTAAATCAAATAACTTTTACACATTCCGTATTACCAAACCCAGCTGCTGTAGGTACATGCTTTAGACAAATACATTTCAGGAATAGATTAGATCCCTTTTTTAAAGAATTTCTTTTATGTCAGCAAAGTAAACATGACTTACAGCCATCCAAAAAACATTAATTTTTAAAAGTTAAATATTTAATCTAAGAACTTAAAATTCCTAGGGTAAAGCCAACAATAACAGCCGAAATGACATTTCTCCCCTAACATTTTATTTTTAAGTTGCTAAATGATTCAAGGGCATTCCTGGGTCCTGAGCCTGCAAACAGAGTCTTGTTGCGTGAGCAATCTCAGTGACACCTCCAGTGATGAGGTGGACAGGAGAGGAAGTGTGGTCAGGGAGGCCAGATCGCAGTGACAGTAACCACGATGGGGAGTTTGAAGGTCTGGCTCCATGATGATGATCGTTTGGCTCCTGGAGCACTTACTCCCCGGCCAGTAAGCTGCATAGATTTGCTGTAATTCGTACAGACCTCTTTTGAAGAGTGAACTTGTTAGCGATTAGATACTTATGGAGGTAAAATTTCAAATCCTGAAACACTAGAGGTTTGCCAATAGCACCCCTAGATCAGAATTATTCTTTCATGTGCAGATCTGGTGACACGTTAAAAATACGCCTCAAAACACATACATTTACTCTAGGTAAGTGATGCTTCAATGAAAAGAAGATCCATAGATCTAATATAGAGTCTTTCCTACCTTCTGTCTTCTGTTCATCAAAAGCTGACTCTAATGGTGGGCCAAAGAGAGGAGCAAGCGCCGTGGTGTCATCTGGAGGTTTTTTGCTAAATCATACACATTAAAGGAAAATGTAGAGAAAAGACATATTAATGTTAAAAAGATGTACAAGCTTTCAAATGTTTTTCATGGTCAGGCAGGTGTACGTGTGTGCACTCGTGTGCATGTGTGTGTACTCAAGCTTCCAAGGGGCTAAAAAGTATATTTCAGAAGATGTCAACGTATGTGGACAAAAGGGTTGGTAACAGATAAGATGCCTGGTTCTCAAGGGGGGACCAAGGGGCTGCTCCAACAGTGACAGGTGAAGGCGAGAAACTCTTTTAAAGCATCCTGATTCTCTATACTTAGAAGAGGTAACAGTAGAGATAACAGTTTGTTGCAAAGCACCTTACTCTCTGTGATGTAGTTAATGCGGTTTATGATTAGTGAAAGTCAGGCATAGGGAGGGTGGGGAACAAGCCACCAGGCAGTTTGTGTTTGAATAAGAAACTAAGTCCACCAACTTCTAATTTTCCTCCCCGCCCCAATCCTCCAACATAGTAGCTTAGTTGTCACTTCCTAGTGCCTTAATACTGCACATCTCAGAAAGAGAAGAGTATTGAGAAATTGGGGGCAAAAGAAGGGTAATATGTTAAACTTGCATCCTTTCTACCAATTATTACTTACACTTATTAACAAAAAGCTGCATCATCTTCTCTATTTCTTACCCAGACCTGATTCCCCTCGTTGGTTCTAATGAGTTTGGGATGTGTGTGTGTGTGTAGAGTGGTAAGAGGTGAAGGGGAGAGGGAAGGGGTCAGAGAAGGAGGGACGATTAAAAGGATCCAGGCTTTAGATAGAAATAGAAGTCTTTTTTGGAAAAAAAGGTTTATTTGTGAAATACTTACTTATTCCAAGGAATACACAGTGTAAAATGTTTTGCCAAAAATACAAAAACAAAATAGAAGAGTCCTTTGGTGTGAGGCAGACAGGATGTATCACAAAGTTGTATTCAACTAAACAGGCTACATACGATTTATAAGGCAACATAATCATATTTCAGATCAGCATTCCAGACACCAAATGACATCTTCATGTAGGCCTTTAACCTCTCATTAGTGAGGGGCTGCTCATTCTGATGGATGTTACTTTAGATGACTGCAGAGTATCTCCCTAAAGGTCTCCCTCAGGCAGCACTTAGGAGAAACGGTAGCATATTAGAACCTGCTGTGATGTACACAGAAGGGCAGGCCCTTTGTTATTAGAAGCTGAGAGTTTAGGCCAAAGGAGCTTTGTCTTATTGTTAAGCGTGCACGATGCTGGACATAAAACACAGCTAACGTTTTTCACACTCACCTTATGAGTTCTGGAGTTGGCGTGGAACGCCTGGGTCTCGCCACTTCTTCACCTGATGCACAGGACAAAGGAAGTTTTTAGGCTTCTTCTTCTTTCTTTTTTTTTTTTTTTTTTTTTACCATTTTTCTCTTTTCTGTCTTATGAGCTATGTTTGGAAACACTTAGAGATTTGAGTCCCATCAATAAGCAACTCTATGAAAACTCTGCAAAACGAATCTAGAAAACAAATTCTCTGCCCTGGCAATACAACAGCCATATATCAGGCGTATGTAGTAGCATTTTCTTTGGCATTTGTATAACCTAATTAACCAAGGAATTACCATGATAAGCCATCAAATAGAAGATCTGTACCCTACAGAGCTCAGTGGAACAGCACATCTTTCTTTGAATGTCTGCTGCCTTGATCCATTCTGTTCCCAAATTACCATAAGAGAATACTAAGCCAGGCCATATGTACAGAGTACATGAATCCAGCATTCTCTGCCTGTTCTTTTCTTGAAATACCAAGAAAATGTTTTACCTCTAACTAGGAACCATTCATTTAAAATTTCCTAGAATGTGCTGGATACAGCAGAAGAAAATCATGCCACGTGTAGCTATAACCTATTTCGTATCACTTTAATTTATACTACTATAATTTTCGTATCAAATAACACAAGAATGGGTAAGCTGCTTCTGTCTTCAGTTCATGCTAGCATCCTCCTCTCCTATCCCAATCCATAAACACACGCTTGATTAAATTCATTTCTAAAATCAAATGATACATCAAGAGTTGACAAATATAGAAAGAAAATAGCAATGTTTATCCAAAAACATATTCACTTTCAAGATTTAAACATTAATCATTCTGAACCCACCGAGCCATTTTATCATAAGATTTCACTGCTGTAAAAGTAAGACATTTGAAAGCCTCCGAAATCAAGCCCAAGAGTGTGTAAGTCAATGCATATATGCTCCAAGATCCAAGGAACTGTTCCTTCTTTTAAATCAGACTCTATTTCTGGTAGCTAAGATATACTTACTGGATAAGTTCCTTTTAATTGCACCCTAGAATTAGAAATAGACACTATAAGGTTTAAGACCACATATATGTTATGTACAATATGTATATTTCTGTTATTGCAATTAAACTGAACTCAAAAAAATGCAGATGGGGAAAAATGATTCTTTTTCTCAGAATTGCATTCAAGTTGGAAATTGTAGACATATACATACAAATCAGTTTTTCATTTTACTCAAAGATTATAGAGGGGAAGAGAGGGTAAATAACAAATCTTCCAAACCAGAAAAAATCCCTTACCTGGGTAGATTTGATAAATTAAAACAACTATTAAATAGTCCATTAAAAAAAAAGAGCCCTTGATATCTAGCAGACAAGAAATTAAATTCAAGTTTAACTCATGTTTGATGTTTAAAAATTATAGAATGTATTCTGGGTACTCTCTGCTCTTATCACATGGGGTCCATAAGTCGCTCATAGAAATAGTCATTAGTTTACTAATGCAAGTTTTAAAGATACGTGTGGCAAATGTCAAAGAGAAGGAAAATTTAAAGGCATTACCACTGAATGGGCTGTTATATTCAGAGAGCCAGAGAATTCCATTCTTTCCCACCCACCTCCCTACCCCAGTTTCCTTTACTTGCCTGCCCTGGGGGCCACCGATCTATCAATTGGGAGTCATTTCTTCAGCGCAAGGCATTGTGATCCTATTGGGATGCAAATTGCCTTGGCAGGAATAGTCTGAGAAGGTCATTTTCAGATTTATAATGCCCTAGTCTTTTTGATAAGAGAGGACTGATTAGACAGAAGTTTTTATTCAAAATCACCATGAAAGGTTCTTAGCATAGGCTGCTTCCAGAAAAGCAGAGCACTAGAAGGTGGCCTCACAAGGTGGGGCACGGGCTGGCAGGATCTCCTTAGGAGAATGTCAGGGACAGAACTCGGGGGTGGGGAAATGGAAGTGTAAGAAAGTTTTCCAGAAGGCATGACTCTGAGTTTGGTGGGTGATAACCAAATGTACAATTGTTTCTACTTTCTGACTTTGGTGAAGGCTCAAACTGTGGTTACTCATGTTTTCTTCTCTCAAATGATAACATTAACAAGTCAGGACAAGATCTAGCACCTCTGTAGCAGACTTATAAGAAGCTCTTTTCCCTCTTTCCTAAGAATTTATCAGAAGTTTTTCTCATTTTGAACTCATTTACGATAGAGGAGCAGTTTCAGTCTGAATAAAGATTCACTGGTTGCTTTTTAGCAGCTCTCTCAAACTATATTTTCTGGCAGTCTGCATGTGTGTGCCACATAGACACTTACTCCATTATTAGTAAAAACTTTTTAAATTCATAAATATTTATTTTAATAGATAAACATTTTAAATCAATATTTTAATTAATTTTACAAGTTTTGTTAAATTAACAAGTTTTGTTTTGTTTAATTAACAAGTTTTGTAAAATTAATTAACATTTTAAATAAATATCATTTAAATCAGCTACAGTCAGTATCAGAGCTTGGATACAGGTTGGCTTTTGGAAAATAAGAATCTATAGACAAAATAATAAGAGAACAAATTATTTAAATGGCATTAAAATGTTTTTCTAGGTTAAGGAGCCTTGGACAAAATTTTATTAATAGGGTCTGAAGGAAAAGATACAGGGGCTTTAGTTTGAAGAAGTCAATCACAAGGTTGACATTGAGGGAATAGGACTCACCTGGTATAGTGAGACCTGAAATCCAGGAGTTAGGGGACCCCAGAGGCTACATTGAAGACCTTTTGGTTTCTTTGTCTTACCCTTTTGTTTAAAATGTTACACTTGTGAAACTAAGAAAGATACAAAGCTTCTTTGGTATTCATTGCTTCCTGGTAGATCAACTCATTTGATAGATATTTATTATTGAGAAGCACTAGACAGGAAGCCCCTGTGACATTTTTATTCAATATTCCTTGTGAATGAAAAATCCCGTCAAGTGCAATCAGACATGGCAGAAATATGCAAGAAAACTCTGTTGTTTAGAAATGAGAAAGAATAATTTCAGGTCAATTTAGAAAGGAACAGATATTCACTCCATCAGCAGAAAGTCATTAGCAACAGAAAAGCAAGTCCTGTTGTCTCTGGATCTGGCATATAGACCTTCGATGGCCTTGATGTCACAACAGGACAAATCTAGAACAAGGTTAAGGTGATAACGACCACACAAACCACATTCAGGAAAACAGCCCATTGAATTCTAAAACCTTATCCTCCCCAAGTGACCACATTTCCCTCCTTGCAATGATTCTTTTTATAGGTAGATTGTGAATAGACTGCCTTCATTTTGATTTAGTCAATTCACTCTTTTTCCTTAAAAAAAAAAAAGAATGTAATGTGTCATAACCTGAGTGTTACCTAACCGTGGGGTTGGAATCATCTACCTAGTCTCCGAAGGTGCTATGATCATCAACTCTGTGGCTTAAATAGAGAACCACAGCTTGCCAGCTGGTGTAGAGCATTTGCCTAAACAGTATTTGATTGATCAAATTGGCACAAGCCTAGGGATATTTCAGAAAGCACTGTTTCATTCCATTTCCTCTTGCAAGGCACTGACCAGGCAGGTGGGGATCATTTTAAACATAGCAAAGATCCTTCTTTTTGCTGCTTCAAATTCATTGCACTTTCAGCCTGAGGAAAATGATTGATATTTATTCTGAACAATGCAAACTGGTACTGATTTGCCTTCAGTGATGAAATATATATATGTGACAGCCTAGAAACACTGACTTGAAAGCAGGGCTCTTCCTCCGAAGATAGAAATTAGGATTATGTATTATTGTATCTTGGCCAATGTAAGGTATGGTCCAGGGAATTATTTTAAATTCAGGCTTAAAAACAATGTGGCTTACAAATTGTTTCCTTACTTCCCTTTATAGGTAGATTGTTTTCTTATTCTTTATGATCACATTTTACAAATGTCTATGGTGCTTTCTGGACAACCTCCAGATCTCACATACACACACATACCACACACATTTTTCACATATAGCACTAGGAGTTGGGATACCTATGTATTAATTTAGTTTGTTATGGAAAGTGCTCTAATGATCTGAAAATATGCTCTTGACACACATAAGACCAGAAACTTTCAACTACTAAACCTAATTCATCTGCCTCATTCATACTGAGTTACAAATTTTACAAGAAGCCAACCTGGCCACCCTGCCTTGGCAACAATTTTCACTATACATTTTTAAGGTAAAAATGTTGAGGGTTCTTACCGGGCTGCGCCTCTGTGATCAGCAAAAAGGAAGAGAGAACAGACACCTAGTCAGAGAATGATGGATCAGTCAACAGGCTTGGGTAACAGAAGACTTCATCAACAGCTAACCAAACACACACTCTGAGTAATCGGGCCAAAGAAGGACAGGCGGTCATTGTGTTGGTGGCTTACTTAAGCCAAAAGGAGGTCTTGGAGAAACTTAAAGAGAATCCATCCACTGCACAGTATAGCTTTGCTAATGGGAATGTGCGAGTTTCAGTTCTACATACACAAAGACAAAGTAGAAACATACAAGAAAATTTCACTGGCAGCTCTTCATGCCTTGTCCTGAGATGTTTTTCCTCCATATCGTTTGGGAAGGGGCGTTTTAGGGAATAGGTAGTTCAGGGAACACTGTTTCCCCACACAACAGGGTATTAGTAAACATCACAGACATAATACATTTCCCACATAATCAGGGCTTTAATTAGAATCTCCAAAACTCGGAGGGAAGGATCAGAGAGACCTCTTCTTTGCCTGGCTTTTCCCTTTAGCACTCTGTGGAGTGAGTGCTGCTGAGGACATTTTTAAAGCACATGTTCTTGGTCTGGTGGTTTGGGCAGTCTCCAACAACGGGTAGGATGTGGTGAGGAGATGAGGAGCTCCTGGCAAGTGCAGGTGGGAATGAAGAAAACCATCTAGCAGCCACGGAACACTGGTGGACCAGGTGATGCGTGGACAAACAGACATATGACTTCTTTCTTTAACTCCTCAATCCTGGCTGTTACCAGTTTACCCCAGTGCTCTCTAGTTGCTCTCCATCTTTAGGATGTTTCTGCAGTAACAAGAGTGACTATGATGTGAGTGGGGCAAGTGCTGTTGCTCGGAGCTTCCCTTTCAGGATATGAGCTTGCCCATGAATTCACCAGAGGCTGTACCGGGGACACAGTGCTGGCCAAATCCTAAAATCTGGGCAAGAAGCACAAACGCAAAAGTATCTGGAAGGTTGCATAAATGAAAAAAGATGTCTCTATTCTCCAGAATACAGACAAGAAACAAAAAGCTATAGTCTTCTATACCTGGGAGGCCTCCATGGATATATAGTCCAGTTGCCTCTAAGATACAGAGAAGAAAAAGAGACTAGAAAAAGGGTAGAACCAGAGTCAGAATTGAGATCTCGGGTCTCTCATCCTCACATTCTTTCTCGGACACCAAGCCTGATGCTGTTGGAGGACTCCTAAAGCAGAGAGCCAGGAATGGTTACTTTTCAGACGAGTATCAGTCAGCAGCTAGGATTTTAGACATATTTACTCTGGTCAATTTTACTTGTAAAATTTTAGACTTTATTATTCACCATGTTTTCCCAGTTCTGTTCCATATCGATGCCACTTTCTTATGAATCTGTTTATCTTCATGGATGCAATTTAAATAAAGTCAGCTATGACTATGTATTTCTGGGCTTAAATTCTTTTACTGACAAATGTACCCTGTGTTTGGAGACAAATTCAAGCCCTCTTTTATATAAAGGTTTTGACTTTATAATTCTTTAATGACCAGGCTAAAGTTCTTCTCTAAAGAAGAAAAGATGGGGATTTATGATTTTTAGCTTCAATTTCATGGCAAACAATTCACACTTAAAAGCAGCATAAATTACAGCAAAGAGGGGATTCAAAGAGACACAGTTTTCCCCAAGATGATTAGGAGAAATAATGCAAAATAAAATGTACATTGCAACCATGTAGGCAGAACGTCAAATTCAAGAAGTTTTATTTAGGACTATAGAAAACAACACTTTTCAAAATACTTCTAATTATATTAAGTCACCCAAAATTAAGTTCAGTGAGTTAAAAACCTGTATATTTTAGTCAACAGTTCCTGTTTGTCTTCTTTCCTAGTAAAAGACAGCATGGTTAAAAAAGCATTTTGGGAACTCTACTGCCAAAACGCCTTCATCAAGGTCCAGCTGTTTAGAGTCATGCAGTCACAAGCTTGCTAACCAGAATCCAGAAGACCCAGCTAAAAGCTGT